CAATTCTCAACTATTTTTCCATCAGTGTATGCATCTTTTTTCTGAAGGAAGCAAAAGGAACATCTGGATACAAAATTGCAAAAAACTGGCACCAGGAAATAAATAGAATAGTATTTGAGGAAATGTTTGGGATGCCAGAAATTAAACTTAAACCTCCAACCAATGATCTTTTGAGTAATTCCTTTTTTGAAATGAGGTTTTGAAAATGGCTTGGATCTTAGTCATACTTAGAGGAGACACAGTGAAATCAATGTTAAGAGACTTGTGACCTAGTCCGAATTCAATCCTTCATTTCTATATGTGAATCTATTTTTTAAAAAAATCAGGATATAAAATCATGTACTATGTGAATGAGACAAGTGTGTTCAGAAAGACATACAGGTACATTTTGAAGTGGCTTGCCTGCTTTTTCCCAGGTATGATATATAGATCAGTATTTTTTTGTTTTACAGCAACTGCAGATATGCTTACCTACCCTCAGGTCAGTATCTGGGCAGAAAGACATTACTGAAATGTACTAAGACAATAAGGAAGTGAGCAACCTGTAATTAATCTCAGGCAAAATGTATTATCTAGCCACAGTTCATCACCGTAGAGACCTGTAATCAATAAACCAACACTTGCTTTTTCTCTCATGTCAAAGGGTCTAACTCCAGATTAAGTGATTTGGGAATTTCAGGCTGACAGCCCACACAGATTGGCCATCTTCACGCGACATGCTAAGCCACCCTGTGAATATGCTAGGTAAAAACAACCACACTGCACCTGACAGATCAGGCTAGGGATGGGCGAGGAACCCATTTGGGGGATGGAAAGCCATTGGATTGCCTCAGCTTGGACTCAGCTTGCGGGGCTCTAGGCTGCTTTGTTGAGGTCGTTGAGTTTGAATTCCTGGCTAGTGTGTCCAGGAAGATCCCAATGTGCTGCTACTCCAAGTATTTTTTTCTCTTGAAAAGCAAGAGGCTTTGGTCATTTCCTTTTCCTTGGAAGGCCTTATTAGGCATTGCTTGTATAACAGATGGTGACAGGGCAGATTGTTGGCTCTAAATGGAAAATGCAATGAACAGGGCTGCTGGCTTGTAGGGCAGGGTGCGATTATGGAAAGGAATGTTTTGAGAGACTACCGAGGGGGAGGTTTAGGAGGGGGTGCTATGCTTTAAGGGATGCTTATATGGGGTAGAAGGATTCTCTGCATCGTTCTAGCAAGTATAGCATAGGCTGAGGAGAAAGGGACTTCTACAGTTGTAAATGCTTCTTAGTGATGATATACATATATGTGATGGGTCCACGAGCCTCTCAGAGTTAGCTGAATGGTTATTTCTAGCTGGTTTGGATGCTGGACTCAACAGCAATAGGAGGGGCTGGCTGAGCTATGCATCAATGGCAAGGTGTCATTTTCAGTCCTCGGTCCTGGTAAGTTGGGATTGTTCTGAAACCACCCCCACCCCGCGCACACACAATTGCAGACATTATACAAGATGCAAGGCGTGGCAGGGTCTTCTACAAATTGTGGAGGGGACACTACCACAACTTTAAGCAGCAAAATGTGCACTCTAAAGGGAGTCAAGCATGGCTGGGATAGTAGCTAAAGGTTCTCTCTTTCTTTCTTTTCTTTTCTTTTTTTGTGGGGGCGGTTGGCCATCCTTACAACCTGGTAGAATGTGGCCATAATCCATAGTTGAAGTAGTAAAACCTGGCCTCCAAGAAAGAGAGCCATAGGTTGTTGGCCTGAGTTGTTCACGAAAATCAAGCCCCCCTGCACTAGACATGCTGATTTGGTCAACATGACAACTTATTCTGGCTAGCCACCCATAATGGGTTGTTGTGTCTCACAAACCTGTCCAAATTGTAAGCCTTAATTTAGCAGCTACATTTTTTAGTTTTACCCTAGAGTAGGCACACGGTCCCTAATCTGGGTGGAGAGTTAAGTGTAGATGTAGAGGACTTTTAAGTTCTGAATCAGTTTCAATATACCCACTATAAAATAAAAATGAAAAAGAACAGCTGTTTGATGCAATTCTAAAGTAACGTCTGTTTCAAGCTTCTGGAAAAACATCACACATGCTTCTGCTAATTCATTAAAAAAAGATGCTAGGACATGAACTCAGAAAGGGTGATTCTGAAAAATTTTGGCTAGGCTTAAATTATTTCAGGGGACTGTGCATGTTTAAACAGAAGAAGTGACTTAGATCTCCCAGCATTGGGAGATGCTGGCTGGGGAATGCTGGGAGTTTTAAGTCATTTTTTCAGTCTAAGTATGCATATTGCTGCATTTGTAAGGTCCACAACTTGCTGGTGCAACACAGTGGCTAAGATTGCAACCTTACCCAGGAAAAGCCCTATTGAACACTGTGAAACCTGTCAGTAAACCAACAGAGGATTATGTTGCATGAAACTAAGTTACAAATCAGGAAGCTCTTGGTTTGATTGTTGTCTTTATTGTGTACTACTGTAATTTGTTGGTTTTAGTTTTATGGTTCTGGTTTTTATTGTGGCTATTTTAAAAATACATTTGATTTCAGTCCCCCAAAGAAATAGCAATACTGAAGGGAAGGATCTGCTCCAGCTGAAAACAGGCAAAACTAACTAGGAATGAATAACTTGCTGTGCTGTTCAACTCTGATATCCAAGGGTCAGATCCAACCAAGGGGGGTCCCCTCATGCAAAAGGACCTTCCCGTCCTCTGCTTTCCCTAAGGCTGGCACAGTTTGTGGGCCCAATCCAGGGCACATCAGAGTAACAACAGGGCCTTTGATCCTGTGTATCCCAGTCTGACCCTGGCAAGTCCTGTTTCAGGTCCACCCATCAGCAGGGACTCCAGCAGTATTTTTTCCCATTACTCTAGGACTTTTCACGGGTGTTCATGGATCTGTGGGAGACTTTCTCTCCATGGGTAGAGTAGCACTTCCACCTCATCTGGCAATCTCTCAGATGCCCTCACGAAAGGGGCTGCATTGCTCTGTGATATGGGCAAATACTTGTGAGTTGAGAATGAAGAGAAGTTGTTTATAATTAAGTTTTCTAGGCACTATACAGCAATTAAAAATAATGTCTTTGCTCACAAGCTTTCTGATCTTACAGGCATGATACAAAAGGAAAAGGGATTGGAGATGGTACAGAAAAACAAGGGTGCTTCCAGATGGAGGGCTCCTAGTTCTTACAATCAAAAGGCACAGTAGAGGACTTATTTTTAAACTGCCATGGAGAAAAATACAAAAAAGCCAGCAGAGCTTAACAACTGGCAGTTCCTATACAACAGAAATCTTGCCTATCCCACCAAGGTAAGCTCATGCTGTTACATTTTCTATCTTGCATCATATATTTGCTAGCATATAAATTTTCAAAGATAGATCAGAGCCACCTATATGAATTGGCAAAAGCCAGACTGAGTACTAGAGGATCAGTTGGCCCAAGTACTTTGAGATTTTTCCAATGCACTGGAAGGGCATATCTACAGCTGTCTTACACTGGGTATTAGTTAGGAATATTTAATCCACTTCACTACTTCTCTTCCCCTTCCCTCTTTTTCTTTGGTACTTTTTCCTTCTATTGTTTCCCTTTCCCTTTCCTTTTTCCTCCTCCTTTTACTTGAAGCTTTAAAAATAATTTTTCACAGAAACAATCAAGCTTAGACTGAGCCACAGTGTGTTTGTCATCACTCAGCACTTAAACTACTTTAGCATTACACTGACACTGAATTACTGGAGTACTTTTATTATAGCTCAAGAGTTGGCAAATGGACTTCCATCCATGCTATGCTATTTTTAAATGGTTACCTAACAATCCATTGTACCTACTCCGATGTCTCTGTGTTGCATAATGCAGATAATTTAGGACATAAGCACAGGTAAAACAAAGGAATAACATTAGTATAATATGGTTGGATATCCTGTTTCTGTTTTAAATGTGCATGATATGGTTCAATAATTTGAAAAAAGAAAAAAAAGGAAGAAGCCACAATTAATACTTCAGAGAGATTATTGACACAATCAGTGTCAGTTGTACATGGCCTTCCTCTACAGAACAAGAATCTTTAATAATTTCTGATAATATAATCAAACTAATATATGCGTTAGTCTGAGTGCAGGCTTGGAGATGCACAAAATATTGCCAATAAAGAATAGCACCTTTTCTTTTTTGCACTGATAAACATTCACTTGAATGGCAAGAGGTAAAAACAAATAAACAGATTCTCAGTTTCAGAATGATATGGTCTTTTTTCATTTTAAAATTAGAATAAATAAGATTTCCAAGTGGAAACTGAGTTCATTGTGCTTCTGATATAAAGCACATTCATTTCTACAATCACTTGCATTTCAAAATGAGCTGTCAACATTATCAGTAATGAATGACCATTTTATTTCTGTAGAAATGCAAATACAAACAGTATCTGGCAAATGTATTTATCTGGCAAATACAAGCGTTATTTTGAAGACATATTTAAATGCGGGAAAGCTAAGTCCAGATATTAGAATTTATAGGCACTTCTAAGGCTGTGTGTGTGTGTGTCCGTCTGTATGTGCAAGTTTTGGTTCAATCATTTCCGACCCTTTAAAAAAAGAAAGAGAGAAAAAAGAAAAAAAGAAAAGGCCAAAACCATATTCTGGACAGATTGATATGGTCAGTGACAATTCTGCATGAGGTTTCTGTAAAAAACAGGAATCTCTAGTAATTTCTGATAACACACAGAGCTGTGATTACACATAGCACATGTGGATACAAAGAACTGATTACATTTACTCTCTTAAATCTAGCTGAAGGTATAGCAACTTTTCAGCAGGACCCATATTAAAATAGGCATTTAAACCATTTTTTCTGCACTGCAGGGGTTTAGAAGTGTGCATGTCCCATTGAGGATAACAGAAAACACCCATTTGTGAACTGTGCCCACAGAGAACAGGAGAGCATAAGCAGGAGCTGCTGAATATAAATTTTAAAAGAGTGAACTTTTGTGACAGAAAAAAAATAGAACTATATAAACATACAAACTGAAGTGATACCTTCAGCAAGTGGGTCAAGGGTGTGAATCATAAGTTGGAAAATGCTGTTCCTCATTAGACTGTTGTGGAGAGAAGCGGAGCTCCCACCCCGCTGGAGACGCGGTTTAGTCTAAAAGGGGAAAGGAGAAGAGATTGTTTAAGCCCTTTTCAGAAAGTAGATTTACTTCATTCATGACAAAATTGTGATTACTGTCACATACATGAAGCAGTTGTTATCTTCCCATTTCAGAACAAAGAATTCCATTTACAGTAAGATGACACTGATATAGTCAAAATATTTAGCAGAATTATGTAATGCTAAGATATTATACATTTATTATATCTTTTGTAGACCTCATAAACACACTAATAGCTGGTGCTAGGTGCAGCTAATGAAGGAAGGCCTCCACCCAGTCTATACCAGTAATAATCCAGGTACAGTCAGGAAAATAATATGGGATACAAATTGGACCACAGAAGATCAGGTCTGTACCGTGGAGCCCCCTTTTCCTACACAGATGGCAAGCTAAACACTGCTGTGAGTGTGCATAACCATTTGTAGAAATGGTGGGAACCACCTGGCTCCCATGGTTCCTTTCATCCATAGATGATATTTCATGTTTTCATGTAGCGTTTGAAGCCACTGTACATTATATTTCCTATTCTACCTGGTGGGTTTGGACTCTGCTTCATGTGTTCATGGAAGAGCTAGAACTTAAATACTGAGACCAGGCATGTCTTGGCATCTGGTGAAGGGCTACAGCAAAACAGACAGGCTCCTTCCATTCACCATGACAACTTGCTTGTTCACCCACCTCTCATTCTAGTCCAAGCAGGAAAGGAGGGCTGAGCAGTAGGAACAGCTAATGCCATGGCCTACTTGCTCCCGTCCTTCCAGGAAGGCAAGCGGTAACAACTGTGAAAGAGCGATTGCGGATCAAGTCTAGCTGGTGACAACGCAGTGAGAAGGTAAACTCGCCAAGGAAGGTGGGGGGGGTCTTCTGTTGTCTGAAACTAGCTAGGCTGCATTGTGTATAACTCTAAAATCCATGGATAATGCGAGGTTGTACAATCTCGCTGAGCTCAGATGATGTGACAAGCCACAGTTCTGGCTTGGGTATTCTGCTGTATGTTGCTGTCAATGCCACAGCCCACCATGGCTTAAGCAGGCTGCTGATCATGTGAACTGGCCCACTTTTCTCACAGGAAACAGAAATAGGGAACCTTCCTCGGCTGAAAACCTGGTAATGCAATCTAGGGCAAGTGAGCAAAACATTTGGCTTGGTGACCAAGACCATCCCAAAAGCTAGAGACCACATGTACTTACACATTTATCCTCTACTGAAATATAAAGTGAATTCAAAAAGTAGGATCCTTGAGCTGTTTTTAATGCTGGAATCCATAGCTGTAGGATTATATTTATATAAGACACACACACACATACATACAGTGGTTGCAAGAAATTTCACCTACACGTTTTATAAACAAGATGTCTAGATATAAAAAGATACTAGCTGCTGCCTACCGTCAGCGTCTGGTCTTCCCCGGTGTTAGACTGCATGGGTTGCGGAGGGAGACAAAAACAAAACATTAAATGGCTGATGACACATGCAAGCGTTTTGAGAAATAAGCATTAAAAAGAAAGTGTTAAGATGGTAACTATAGAAATATGCTAGCATATCAACAAGCATACCTGAATGTCATGAAACTCTAAACTACATCTGAGTCATCTACTTAAGCAAGGCCATGAAAAATAAAAGCCTTCAGAGTACACCTGTTCAGAGTGAGATGGATGGAAGGAATCGTCATGGTTGTGTTGAAGTTCTGAACAGTGAAGCTAACATTCTATGAGCAGGCATCATTAATATTCATATTCAATATAATTAATATTAAGGTCCAATAGGAGGTTCTCTTGAAATGCAAGTATCTTCAGACACCCCTCCATATGCCCTTGCCCCCATCCTGAGGCTGCTCAGGTTTACCCAGGTGTGCTATTTACATAAATAGTTTGGTCCCTAGAGGCTAATGTATAGCAAGAAGTCAGGCCTCCACACAAACAAATGTAAATTCTGTTCAGTTTTCCTGGGCTGCTGTGTTGCAACATTTAGTGGAAGATGATGGAACTTTGGTGTCCAAGCTGAAACTATTCTCTGAGAATATCTTCCATCTACTGGATAAAAGTACCCAGTTTAGCATCTACTGATTCTCTTTTATCTAGCATGTCTAAATCAATAACCAGATTTGCTGATATGAAGACTTTCTATTTGATCTCTAGTTTTGTCTTCCACCAACCCAGTGACCTGTCCAGGTCATCCTAGATGGAGACAGAGTTCAGTTAAAAAAAAGATTCATTTTATATTTTCAGAAATAGAGGATCTACCACTGACTAGAATTTTATTTACCCAGTGACCCTGGGCACTGAAACGATACATCACTTGACAGAGCCCAGTCTGGAGGTCTTTTATGTCTCCTTCTCCTACCTCTCCATTATCATCTTAAAACTCTGACCACTGACACAAAATCATTGGATTCAGGCAAAGCAACAATCCACATTCAAGGGTTGTTGTTGAAACTGGGGCTATCATGTTGTATGAATCCAATCAAGGCAAGCAACCATGGGGAACAACCCACAGTTCACAAATGAACAGCAAACCATGAGGGTTTCTTCATGAATTGTTCATCATTAACAAGCCATGGTTTGCCGGCACAGCTGGGCTAGACATGGTTTCATGCTAACACATGTTTCGGCAACAAGCCATGGTTCAACAGCAACTGACATTCTACTACTTCTACGCTTGAGTTTGGGTTATCATGTTGTCTGAACTTAGTCAGTAACTTGGTTCACAGGACATGACAAGCCATTACGGGTAACTAGTCACAATGGGTTGTCATGTCATCCAAACGCACATTGTTTCCTACAGATTCATATTTTTTTTCAGTAACAGGACACATGACAATCCATGGGTTGTTCCGGCTTCTTTGATTCGAGATAGATTGTTGCGTCATCCTAACCCAGCACTGTAATTTCTTCAAGGTTCCAGGGATTAGCTAGAGCGTTACTAAGCAAGGATGGCAAACCCACTTGCCTCTATTCATGATTTTGCCAATGCTGCTGCTAGCCTTTTACATGCAGCATGTTGGAGTGATTGTAACTGGTTGGTGACACTTTTTATTTTATTTTTCTCAGAGCCAGAAAATTGTGCAAATGTGTTTGTAATTTTTTTCAGTTTGTCTTTTACAAGGGCACTCTTATGGCTGTGCAGTACTTTCCTAATCAACCTGTTTTCACATTTTAGGAAAGTGGAGTAAATAATATACATGGAAATTAACATGGTGAGCAGACTTTTAGGCTAATTTGCACACAGTTGCCAGGGGCCAGTTGCTGAATTGTAATAGCATAAACAATTGAACTGAAAAGTATCAAAAGGGGGGATGAAAGTAGAAAATGCCGGTGTACCATCTTCTTCCTTAACACTGCAATTCTCCTGATTTTTTACGTGTTTTAACTGGCATTTTTCAGTGCCTTCCACCTTTTCCCCTGGAAAGGGAGGTATTGCCACCCCCTCACACACATTTTCTTGCCACTCCTATTCTGAGTATGTACAGCTGCAGTTCCCTAACAGTTCTAAAAAAGACCAAACAAGCAAACTGAGAAGGTGCCTGAATGGGACAGAGCGAAGGAGGTCCTACAGGTCTCTGTGTAAGCACTGCTGATGTCAGTAGTCCATTTGTTCCACTTCATTTTGTCATCTGCAAGGGAGTGTGCATGTTTAAAAAAAAAACACAACAACCCCAAACCTTATCAGAATATTTGTGTATTTTTGGACTGGAAAATAGATGTACATTTAATGACCAAGAAATAAATGAAGGGACAGGTTGCACCTATGTAAGGGCAGGACCATAAATAGAGGGTAAATCTGTAGTTACATGTAAAGAGGGAGTTATTTCAGGAAGCAAATTTCCCTTCCGTTTATTATCCATTCTTTAAATTGGTGCACATAGATCCTCTATTTACTTCCCAACAATTCAACTTGCATATATTTCTCCAAGTTTTTCAGAACTCTCAGTAAACCAAAGTAAGCAAGTAGTAAGTGAAAAGAAGTTGTGAAAAGGGACTCAAGATTCAGGGAAGAGTTGAAAAGTTGGAGAGGGGGCTATATTATCTGGCCTCCTTTGGTGCATCATCTTTTCCTGCTTTTTCACTCTTTGCCAGTGCTTTCCAATGGAAGACTTGGCCACTGGATCATAGCAGCTATGGACAAATTAGCCTCTGTGCAGTTCCACCTTGTCGATTTCCAAATCTACTTTGCTGCTCATGACAACTGTTAACAGTGCACTTGTGAATGTGTCAAACACCACCAACAACTTTATTTAACAAAGTGTGAACATAGTTGAGCAACTATCAGAGGAGGAAAATATCACGAGGGAGGGACAGGGAGCTGAAGAGGGTTCTGCCACAAAGAACACTAGTATGATAGCTGAAGAACCAAGGACGAAGTGTGTGAGGGGGTCATGGGGAGCCCAATTGTCTCCTGAATGTGTAGCTTATCTGCAGGTGGCTTATCGTCAGGTGAACATACCCAGGAATATGCCTGCTTTCACCTCCCTATAAACCCTTCACCAAACCTACATCTTGTAACTTCTTGCCTGTTGAAGAGATTTGGAGATCTGAACATTTGTACCATTCTTTGCCCCTTCATGGATCACTGCCTTGCCGTGGCGAAGGGGCTTGTGTAGCTCAACGAAGCTATGAGCTAAGCCGTGCAGGGGCACCAAGACGGACAGGTCATAGCAGAGAGCGCCGACAAAAGCTGATCCACTGGAGAAGGAAATGGCAACCCACTCCAGTACCTTTGCCATGAAAACCCCATGGACAGTACCAAAAGGCAAAAAGATATGACGCTGGAGGATGAGCCCCATTTGTCTAATAAAGCTACTGTTACAAACATCAGGCTGTGCAAATGCTTTTGATAAATCAAAATTTCTAACTAACATGGGGAGAACTATGGTAATAACCAATACCTTCAATGGCTATTTGTAAGCCGTCCTGAGATGTTGTTAAGGATGGGATAAAAATAGTGTAAATAAATATAAATAAATAAATATTTATAGCCACACTAATTACTGCTTCATAGCAACTTGTCTAGAAACAGAACCTGTACTTTGCACATGACTGTAAACGTCCTCAGTGTGGACTAAATATTGCCATGGACAATTGCAGGGGCTGCAGCTTGTTCTAAAATCAGGATAAATAACCACAGTTGGAACTTCAACATGCTGTACTGGACATAAGATGCAAATGCAAAGTCTATTGACTTCTTTGTCAAATTTGGAACAGAAAGAACAGGTTACATACAGCATGCCAGAATTCTGTGAGTAAGAAATGGCTATTTTTCACACTATCCCACGCATACTAATTCAATAAAGGGATTATCTGGTCTACTTTCTGTCCTGAGACCAGCTAAGTTACACCTACAGTGATTCATAAAAATGAATGATAATGATAAACCTTATCGCATAAAACTGCACAAAACCCAACAGCTACAACTATGCTATTTTCTTATATAATAACCCTTAGCCACCTCAGCTTTTGACATGGAAAAAGACTAAATATCTGAAAACATTTCTCCAGTTACTGACTTCAGACATAAAGATTACTGGAAGACAAATATGTTTTTGGTATAAACATGGCAATGAATCAGTCCATTTTCTTGCCTTAGTAAATAAAAAATAACAGGCACACAATCCATTATCTCGTAGTAAGTCCCTAGCTGGGATCATCATGATGACAGAAGGGTTCTGTTAGAAGAGTCTGTGTGGGAGAGGGCTGCCTCCTGCTTCTCTGGTCAGGAATGCTCAGTGCTCAGGGCTATCATATGACGTTCTAAGCACACTGTGTAGGCAACTGAAGCCTTCTAATATAAAACCATAAACGTCATTAAATGTTTGATGAGCTTTCTAACATATATTCATCAACATGGATCATTACCACTATCCAGAGAATGTAGCTTGTGTGCAGAAATAAGTGGTTGGATCCAGACTTAAAGTAGTTCTAATTGAAGTGGACTTGACCAACCACTTCTTGCTTCAACTGATCTAGCCCTTTAAAAAGTCTACACAGAGAACCGGGGGTACCTAATAAGAGAGGTGAGCTGTGGTGTTGTGGGGAAAGGGGATCTCCTCAACTCAGTGGAAATACCTTCCATGAGTGGGATGCTTCCTCTTGTAGAAGGTCCCTTTTTCTTATGGAAGGCTGGTTCTGGGTCCAACCTAAGATATCCGTTAGCAGATGTTCAGATGCATGTACACCTACAAAAAGGCTCAAGACCCTTGAGTATGCATGCATGTGTGAGAGAGATAAACACCTGGAAAACATTATTCAACCTCATTTAGGTTCTTTAGTGCTCCATCTTATTAGCAAATAAAAAGCAAATATTTCTCCAGAGGTGCCTTGAGCCTTTCAAGGAAATGTCCATGCAAACAATGGACAATGGACAATGCAGGTAGCTCAGGCCAGATACTATGAAGGAAGGCAAGAAAAACTCAAACTGCATA